GTTCATCTGCTTGTAGTTCAAGTTCATTGTGTTGAGATTACATAGGGTGATAGACTCATAGAAAGTTAAGAGGTGTAAGAATAAGGCAAGGATGCTAATTAATGTCTGAAGCCAAGTAAGCACTCAACAAGAGATAGTCATTATGGTCGTCATCATGATCATTGTGATCACTATGGTAATAATGATGAAAAAGAATAGAAGGCTCTCTAAGACTATGGAAAGAAATCATTTATAGAACTTAGTGAGTATTTGGATTTGGAAAAATGAGGTCGAAGATATTTCATGTCTACATTACTATAATAATGATGGAAACCAATCATCAGAACTAGGGAAGGCAGAAGATATACTCATTTTAGAAAAAACATCAGAAACTCGGTTTTAGACATGCTGAGTTTGATCTAACAGAAGAAATGCACAGTAAACAGTTGATCATAGAGGAATGGATCCAAAAAGGTGTAGCAGCAAAGCAGGAAGCTATGGGAGCTTGAATGAGATGACCTACATATTCTCAATAAAATAATTGGCAAATGTTCAAAATGAGTGAGATAGAGGTAGAATTTCAGGCTACACAAGCATGGCAAAACTTTGGGAAAATCTAACCAGAAACCAGGTAATAAATAATGAATTATAAAAGGACTAGAGGCCCGGTGCACAAAAATTTGTGCACTCGGGGGGGAAGGGGGAGTCCCTCAGCCCGGCCTGTGCCCTCTCGCAGTCTGGGACCCCTCGGGAGATAACGACCTGCTGGCTTAGGCCTGCTCCTGGGTGGCAGAGGGCAGGCCCAATCCCTAGGTGCAGCCCCTGGTCGGGCTCAGGGCAGGGCTGATTGGGGAGTTGGGGCGCCACCCCCTGTCATGCACAGAGCAGGGCAGATTGGGAGGTTGCGATGCCACCCTCAGTCACGCTCAGGGTAGGGCCGATTGGGGGGTTGGGGCACCACCCCCTATCACACTCAAGGCAGGGTCGATGGGGAGGTTGCGGCGCCACCCCCTATGACGCACAGAGCAGGGCCAATCAGGGGGGTTGGGGCTCCATACCCTGTCACGCACAGAGCAGGGCCCATCAGGGGGGTTGGGGCTCCATACCCTGTCACGCACAGAGCAGGGCCAATCAGGGGGTTGGGGAGCTCCCCACTGTCATGCACAGAGCAGGGCCGATCAGGGGGTTGAGGAGCTCCCCCCTGTCATGCACAGAGCAGGGCTGGTCAGGGGGTTGAGGAGCTCCCCCCTGTCACTCACAGAGTAGGGCCGATAGGGGAGTTAGGGCACCGCCCCCTGTCACACACACACAGCAGGGTGGATCAGGGGGTTGGGGCGCCACCCTCTATCACCCACAGAGCAGAGCCGATCAGGGGGTTGGGACGCCGCCACTGTCACACTCAGGGCAGGGCTGATGGGGAGGTTATGGCTCTACCCCATCACACACAGAGCAGGGCTCATGTCGGGGGGAGGGGGGGGGTTGAGGCGCCACCCTCTATCACCCACAGAGCAGGGACTATCAGGGGGTTGGGGTGCTGCCACTCTCACACTCAGGACAGGGCCGATGGGGAGGTTATGGCTCTACCCTGTCACACACAGAGCAGGCCTGTGGGCGGGGGGTTGGGGCGCCGCACCCTGTCACACACAGAGCCGCAGGGCGATCAGGGGGTTTGGGCGCTGCCCCCTGTCACGCTGATCCGGTGCCAGGAGGCCTCGCGGCTCCGCTGATCCCGGTGCTGGGAGGCATATTACCCTTTTACTATATAGGATAGAGGCCTGGGGGCCAGCTGGTTTGCCCTGAAGGGTGTCCCGGATCAGGGTGGGGGTCCCCACTGGGGTGCCTGGCCAGCCTGGATGAGGTGATGATGGCTGTTTGCAGCTGGTCACACACCCTTCAGGGTGGGGGTCCCCACTGGGGTGCCTGGCCAGTCTGGGTGAGGAGCTGAGGGCTGCTTTCAGGCTTGCAGTTGACTGAAGCTCCCAACCGCTCCTTTTTTTCTTTTTCTTTTTTTTTATTCTGGGCCAGCTTTAGATCTGGCTCTAGCTCTGAGGCTTCCACTGCTGAAAGCAGGTATCTGGTTTGTTTGCGTTCTATAATTGAAACAATGTATAACTCCAGCTCTGAGATCCCGGCTGGCTGAAAGCTGGTTTCTGGGGTTTTGTTTAGCTTCTATATTTGTTACAATGTTTCTTAGAGTTGCAGCTCAGAGGCCGGCAAGTCAGGCAGGGAACGTTGGAGTCTGCAGTCACTGGAGCAAGCAAGCCTCATGTTCGCTTCCAGCTGCCTGGCTGCCGGCCGCCATCTTGGCTGACAGTTAATTTGCATAAGGATATGCTGATTAGCCAATGGGAAGGGTAGCGGTCGTACGCTAATTACCATGTTTCTCTTTTATTAGTGTAGATTGACAGGCAGCAAAATGAATCCACTGGAAGATGAATAAGTGGAGTTAGTCAAAATTAACGGTCAGGCCGAAACCGGTTTGGCTCAGTGGATAGAGCGTCAGCTTGCGGACTGAAAGGTCCCAGGTTCGATTCCGGTCAAGGGCATGTACCTGGGTTGCGGGCACATCCCCAGTAGGAGATGTGCAGGAGGCAGCTGATCGATGTTTCTAACTCTATCTCTCTCCCTTCCTCTCTGTAAAAAATCAATAAAATATATTTTAAAAAAAATTAATGGTCAACATATATGATTTTCCTCCTAAGTGTTCAACAGTTGGGAGAAGAGAACGAGTAGACAGTAGAGGTAGCCTATGCTGAAGGACATGTGACAGGAGTTATTTTCTTTTTTAACTGCTTTTTGCAGTTTTTCTGTTTGAATTATTTTATTCTTTTAAAGTGATTTTTAGTTGTTTTCAGCCCATTTATAGTGTATATTCACTTGAGTTCTGCAACAGAACACAGTGAGTACATAACAGTCTGCTATGAGAACAAATATATTTCAAATATGCCATCATCAATACTGGCTTCAAAAGCCAAAATTTTAAGGGGACAGTGCGTCAGTTCATCCCCATTTCATTCCTTTAATATCACAGAGCAAGGGGAACTTCTATCATATTTTAAATTTCAGACCTGTATGGTACATAGTATTTTTTTTCTACTCAATGTTTTCAGGATTACTTTAAGTATGTGTGATCCTTGGTTACTGAAAGTAAAAAGAAGAGTATACAAATACTATTCACATCACTTTATTGGTTCTTACCCAGTTTTTCATACAGTGAATAACATATACTCCTGACATCAATAAGGACCTTTCATTCTGCATTATATAACCTGACATGGAAAATAAAAGTAAACAATAGCCAACCTGTGCTTTCCTCATGTATACCAAAGGCTCTTTAAGATGTTCCGGAGGTACTGCAGGGTGACTAGGTAGAGGAAACCTAGGAACAAGAAGAGGCAGCTTAATATTGTACCTTACTCTTGATAATTAACTAATTCTCTTGGTTAGAAATTACTTACCTCTGTAGCCCATGTTATGAATGAAATAGACTACTTATTAGCAGTGTATGTGTTGACACAAGGTCAACACAAACTTCAACTCTTACCCTACCAGTACTGTAGTTTTAGATTAGCAATTTAATTACTTGTTAAATTGCATAATTATCTGGGTTCATAAATTGAGGTAATTTAAAATATTATTTGGCTCTGTAAATGCTCATGATAACTGTCCTATTAATGTTAACACAGGAATATAAACATTTAGAGGAATCTTTTAAGAAAAAAAATCCATTGACATACTAACATATAAACTCTTATCCTTTTTCACATGATTATATATTTTTATACAGTTGAAATAATAATAGAAATATTTATTTGAATACCCAGGTTTTACTATATAATACATTCATTTACAAATTTAATAAAATTTTAAAGTTTTATGAATTCTTTCTGTTTTCTAAGTCACTTTACATTTTATATTCAAAATGTATTGTTTTCATTAAGAAAACATTTATTTAGTCAATAGATTTTTGAGCCATTCTAGGTACTAAATATATGATAGTGATTAAAACAATATCCCCTGTTCTCATATATCTGACATTCTAGTAAAGAAAGTGAATAATTATAAAAACAAATAAATACATAGAATAACACCAGATAGTAATAGGTGTCATGAGAAAATGAGAGCAGGTAATGGGATAAAAGTGCTTTGGAAGGGTAGGGAAAGCATCTAGGGGAGCTAATATTCTAAGACATAAGTGGGAAGAAGCAGCCTATCATACAAAGATCTGGGGCAAAGGGAAAGCAAGCATAAGACCCTGAGGTGGAAACATTTGGAATGTTTAAAAATCCTTAAAAAACAACAACAAAAAAACAATAAACAGAATGGTTGGGATATAATGATCAAGGCACAGAGTGATGTGAAATCACATAGAAGGCAATGGGAAAACATGATACTCCAATCGTTTACTCCAATCTCTTTCACACACAAAAAGGTTAGTTATAGGACCTGTACCTACAGCAAAGCAACTATGTTGCATAGTCAAGAACCATACACTGAATTCTCAAGAAATTCCTCATCCAAAGTGGGACATCAGCATGTGAAGGGTTAATGACATACGAAACCACCTGTACCTATCCCAGAACCTAAATACAAGAGGCTCAAATGTCCATAACAAATGTTTCTAGAATAGAAAAGAGTAACCTATCCTACCTCATTTAAAGACAGCTTCACTTACTGATTATTTTTAGCTCATTGTTTTTCCCACTAAAATCTACATTCCATATACCTGAATAAATCACCTTTCACAAAGGAAAACATGATAACCTCTAGATACCTCAGTATTTCTTATATGCAAGATCATTTTAAAAATCATTATTTCATGGTGCTCAATGTGTCATTTGTAAAGGGACATGTGGTTTAGAATTAAATATCACTCTAAAATCCTTCCACTTTAATAATAATTACAGTACTTCTAAATGCAATAAAACTAAGAAATTTAGGATTGAAATTGAGTGCACTTACTGCAGAGAGAGGGTTGTCAGATAGAAACCTGTGCATCATTCTTGACTCCTTCCTCTTCGATCCCCTGTGCCCCCACAAATAGTTCTCAGCTTTTTCCTCCCCACGGACACTGTTTCAGGAAACCAGCATCTCTGGTCTGCATTCACCCGTCAGACTGTCCCTGCTTCCATGCCATTTTCAATCTATTTGCCAATGTGCCTGGCTGCTAGTGCTTGCAATCCCAGTGTCTAGCGTAATGTCTGGCGCACACTAGATAACCAGCACATTGTTGAATGAATAAAATGCAAATATGGTCATGTCGCTACTCTGCTTAAACTTTTAAATTGACACCCAAATGCTATTAGGATCCAGTCTACAAAGCCTTGAGTATGAAGCACATTCCTGCCTACGTGGCTAATATCATCCTTTACCATGGCCCTATACCACCCAGCCATTCAACTTCTGTTCCGTCACTGAGCCACAGTTCCCGCTCCAAGTCTCTGAGCCCACTGTTCCCTTCTGCCTACAGCACGGCTCTTCGCATGCTGCACTGTATCCCCAGTGCCCAGAGCAGTGCTGGCACATGGCAGGGACTCAGTAAAGAACTGAGGAATGATGAAATAGTAAGTAAACTACAAAGGCTAACATTCTAGATCTACATTTTTTGTAATGACAAATAGTTCTATATATCTCAATGGATGCTGAGGGCAAGTCCACATACACAAAGAAGTTCATTTTTTGTATGATGTTCTTAATAATATTAATAAAGAGAAAAAGGGTAATATCCCAAATGGTAACAATAAATAGAATGTTGGTAAGCTTCAGTTTTCTGAAATAGTAACTTAAAAGAAGCCCTAATTACACTGAATAAATAAATCTGTAATATAAATTTTGGTGACATATAAAAACTCTATATAGTAACAGCAGGAAGGCTGGGGAGGGTTGGGGGGCAGGAGGGGGTGGGTAAGAGATCAACCGAAGGACTTGTATGCATGAATATAAGCATAACCAATGGACATAAGACACTGGGGGATAGGGGAGACCGGGGGAATGTCAAGAAGGGGAAAAAAAAGGAGACATATATAATACTCTTTGTAATACTTTAAGCAATAAAACAAAATTTTTTTAAAAAAGGAAACATCCAAAAAAAAACTCTATATAGTTAATATTCTCAGGCAAAACTATAATTTTTAAAAGTATTAACTAATTTTAAATGCTATATTAATATTAATAAGAAATAATACAATGAGTATACATAACAATACTGTATTCAGCACTTGCAAAGTAAATATAGCTAAACATAGTATTTCATCATAGGTAGGAAAAACTCACACACTCAGTTCACTATAAACAGCATTCTGAAGTTTCTTCTCCCAACCTGTTTTTAAAAAAATAAAATATATAAACATATTAGTTTCAAAGATAGATATACATTATAATTAATGTATCTCACTGTAACATTATACTCATTGTGAAAGCACTTTATCAGCTGCCAATTGCTGTGTAGTGTTATTAAGGATTAGTTCCTATGCATTCATTATATCCCTTGGCAAACACTGAGTTGCCAAGTTGTCAACATTATATTATTTTTTAAGTAAAACTATTGCACCATTTCTCAAGACGGGAGAAAAAGTTCCTTCTTCGACCATTAAGTTGCTCAACAAATGCTGAAATCTCTAGCCATTGCACTACTAGTTCAATGATGACTGTGCCTAGAGAAAAGCAAGAAAGAGCCAGGCAGTCCGGCCGGTATGGCTCAATGGTTGAGCATTGACCTATGACCCAGGAGGTCATGGTTTGATTCCTGGTCAGGGTACATGCCTGGATTGCAGGCTTGATCCCCCGTGTAGGGCATGCAGGAGGCAGCCAATCAATGATTCTCTCTCATTATTGGTGTATCTACATCTCTCTTCCTCTCCCTTCCTCTCTGAAATCAACAAAAATACTTTTTTTAAAAAAAAAGAAGAAGAAAGAGCCAGACACTTGGAAAATGCAGACCACAAGTAATCAGTTACATGAACTAGTCAGTAAACGCCTAACAGAAGTGGATTATTATAAGGTACCTACCACAAGTCAGATCAGTTATCTTGGCTGATAACTACTTGAACTTTTCTGGATAAGTAAGCCACTGAATATCTCAGTTTCCATGTACAAAGGTTAGAATAGGGAACCTCTCTTCTTGCTCTAAAAGAGGGGGGTGGATTTTTGTTGTTTGTTGAAAGGGAAGGAAAGAGGAGGGAAATAATTGTAGAAGGAAAAAATATATACCAAAAAAAAGGAAAAGACAAGTTCCTGAACGAGGAGGATTTTTCATATATTCAGGATGTATTTGATCAGGAAGGTAAACAGTATTTAAAACTAAATGATGTAAAGCAGTCATTTCCTTAGTGACCCTAAATTTTTACAGCATTTATTGAAATGTTTGAAAGTTCTAATTCTTCCCAAATAGAAATATATCCAGCCACTGTTTCACAAGTTTGAATGAGTAATTAGATGGGGATGAAATATTTCCTTCAAATACAGTATTTCCTTATTTTGCCTTAAAGAATTAGGGGGAAAAGAACAACTTACAAACCTGATGTTTTAAAGAATCTCTTGATATCTTCTTTTAGAGATTCAAGTTTAATATCAGTTCTCTGAAGACTGGCCTAATTTTAGAAAAAAGAAAAAGAGGTCAAGATAAGTCATTGGGTTGATATTTAATGTTAACGGAAATTTTTAAAAAGTGTGTCCAAATATACAGACTATTTAAAAACCTCGCTCTGAGGTCAGAACACCTGGGAATTAACTAGATGAGCTCAAAAGAGAGAACTCTTTTTCAACTACTCTGAAATAGAGGATCTGTGGTATTAAACATTTCTACTCAAAATATAAAAACTTGTAGCTCATAGCTATCTAACATCATCTAGTGTTTTTATCTTTATGAATACTTAACATCATTTTTCCAGTAGAAAAAATACTCAGACTTCATAAGTTCATTCTCCTAATTTATACCCAACATATACAGCACCTACACCTAATGACCAAAAACCCAGTTGCATCCTTAAAATGGATTTTTGATTAGTATCTTCCTCTTTGGATTGCTGCTCAATGTGAACCTGCATTTGTTGCGCATATTTATGGGAAATATATAAAACTACTATTTCACAAATGCTTATTAGTACCTCTTTCCTCTTCAAGCACAAGCTTTTTATTCTACTGATATTTCATACTGTAATTTTTACCGAAAATATAATTTCTCAAACCTATAACGGCTTCATGACTTTCAATGTGTTGATCTTTCATCACTTAGCTCTCTCTATCAAATTCCAGAAGTCTACTTCTTAAGAAGTTATTTCTAGTAGAGTATCTCATAAGCATTTCAAACCTATGAAATAAAAATATTAATCTTATCTTCCATTTACTACCTTGCTCCTTCTCTTCTATTTTTTAATCTTCATCCATGCAATTACTATCACCACCATCTTCCAAGTCAGAAACATTAGTTATTCTCAATTCCATTCTAACTCTTCTAGGATTTAACCCACTCCTGGAAAGATTGCTTTGGTGACAATGAGTTGTTTTTGCTTTTTTAAATCTCCCTGATTTCCACATAAAAAAAGACCAAGCAACTCAATACTAAAAGCAACATCCCATGGAAAACATGTGCAACAAAACTTGATGATAAGATATCCCCTACAAGGCTAACATACAAGCAATAGGGAACACACCAAGGACACAAAATCTATAGTGTATGGTAGTAGCATCTGTGGAGGGGAAGCAGGGGGGTATCTGATATATGTAAAAACAGAGAACTCCAAAACAGCCAACAAGTTCACTGGAACATATGATAAACCAATTTTAGAACAGGAGCTGAAACTGAGAGGGGTTTGGCCTAATCCAGTCGAGCGAATTAGGTCTGAAGAGACTGGAGCAGCCTTCCACCTGTGAATTCTTGAAACTGACCAACCAGTGCACTGCACCCTTTTCAGACAAGGCCACCTTGAGGAGAAAATACTACTGATAAAGTAACAAGAATTGAGGATGACAGTGAACTAATTTATTACCTTGAAGGAAAAGTAATTTATCTTGCTTTTCCTATGGGAACTGTACCACTGGGCAACCAAATAGTAGATAAGAGGAAATGTCTCTTTATAAAGGAATTCCAGCTAATAACTAAAACAGATATGATATAATTAGAATATCACCATTTTGCAACCCCTAATAACTTACTAATTCTAGGCATTGAGCAGAAACAGCTAATAACATTGCAAAAGACGGACACAATGTGCTTCTCGATGAAAGAACACTTGCTGCCAGCGTAGGCAACCACCTGCGTCTGCTCAAGCCACTGGGTCCAGCTGTCAATTTACAAGTCACACAAAGGACAGGGGAACATGTTACACTTCGCCAGGGGTATGCAATCAGAAAAACCCAGGATGTGAGAAATTATAAAGGTCAAACGGCCCAGTTCTTCAGCGATAAATTATAAGGAAAAAGAAGGGAAGGAGAGGAAACCTATAGATTTTTAAAAACTTTAAAAGGCACATCAAAAAAATATTTTTAATTGGCAAGACCAAGTTAGGGTCTATGGATACACATTTGGGTAATAAAACTATCAAGAAATGCAGGAAAGTGATTACCAAATCAGGTGGTGGGGGAGGGAGGGATTCGTGATGGGGATGGGGCAAATGAAGGGGTTTCTGGTATGGCTGGCAAAGTCCCCCCGCCTTTTTTTTCAGTTTTTCTTTTTTTATTTCAAGAAAAAACGATTTTAAATATAATAGTGTTACATGCAATAAACCTTAATATTTCAAGAAAATGATCTTAAATATAATAATGTTACATGCAATAAACATTAATATCCCAAGAAAAACAATTGTAAATATGATAATGTTACATGCAATAAACACCAATTATTCAAGAAAAATTATCTTATATATAATAATACTGCAGGCAATAAACATTAATATTTCAAGAATAAAAGGATTTTAAGTATAATAATATTACCAAAACTGTACTAACATATTATGATATCACAAAAGTTTTAGAAAATATTAAAAATCTGCAAATACTTCTATTATATTCTAGAATATAATATTCTAGAATATTTTTTCCTCTCTGGCTCTACTTTTGTTCATCAGTTTATGTTGTTCATGATATTCCACAAATGAGTGAGATCATATGATATTTACCTTTCTCCGACTGGCTTATTTCACTTAGCGTGATGCTTTTAAAATTTATTTTGTTGGATATGAGTATTGCCACTCCAGCTCTTTTGTTTTTCTTTTCCATTTCATGGAAAATTTTTTCCATCCATTCACTTTCATCCTGTGTGTGTCTTTTTTTTAAAATATGTTTTATTGACTTTTTACAGAGAGGAAGGGAGAGGGATAGAGAGTTAGAAACATGAATCAGCTGCCTCCTGCACACTCCCCACTGGGGATGTGCCCACAGCCAATGTACATGCCCTTGACCGGAATGGAACCTGGGACCCTTCAGTCTGCAGACCGATGCTCTATCCACTGAGCCAAACTGGTTAGGGCCCGGGTATGTCTTTTGTTTTGAGGTGGGTCTCTTGTAAACAGCATATAGTTGGGTCACGTTTTCGTATTCATTCAGCTACCTTACACCTTTTGATTGGAGCATTTAATCCATTTACATTTAGGGTTATTACTGAGAGGTACTTATCTATAGCCATTTTAATTCTGTGTGGCTAGGTTTCTCTCTCTGTTTCTTCTTCTCAGCAACAGGTGGGGCAGTTGCTTCTGCTTAGAGCAGTGGTTCCCAAACTTATTTGGCCTACCGCCTCCTTTCCAGAAAAAATATTACTCAGCGCCCTCTGGAAATTAATTTTTTTAAAATTTTAATAGCAATTAAACAGAAAGATATATATATTAATGTTTCTACCTTTTTCGTAAAATATAGTAAAGAAAGGTGTAAATTAGAAACATTGAAGTTTGAAATTATGAAACTATTTATTGAACTCAGAATAGAAAGGTAATACAAAAAAAGTTAAAACAAATGCACCTGTGGCCATCACCGCCCCCCTGGATCGCTGCAGCGCCCACCAGGGGGCGGTAGCACCCACTTTGGGAATCACTGGCTTAGAGGCTAATTGTTACTTTTAATCTCTTAAGTGCCCTCAGGGCAAGGTGTTTTCCAATAGGGAGTGTTGACTATCTTCCCCCTAGGCAAAGCAGATGTCTATGTGGGAAAGATGTCCTCTTCTGTATGAGGGAATGACTCAACCCAGGAAATTTGGGGTATTCTGCCTTCTGAGCTCTATCCCTTGAGTCCCCAGTCCTGGGTTCTGCTCTTGCAGCTCCAGTCCATTTCACCCTCCCTCCGCCAGAGTACAAGGTAGGTGGCTCCACAGGAAATTTTTGTGTGTTAGCCCTTTAAGAGGGTGCCTGAACTTTTAGCTGCCACTCCCTGGCAGACAGCACCCCACTGCTTTTCACAGCTAGATGTTATGTGGGTACCCTCCTCAGTTGGGAGCTTTCTGCTGGGGAGCCCAGCTTTGGGATTAGATCCCAGAGTTCTCAGTTGCTCCCCCCCGCACAGCTGAAATCTCTCTCTGGGACTTCAGTTGCCATCTGTGAGTGCCTGGCCAGCCCTTACGCTCCTCCACCCCTCCTACCAGTCTCTATGTGGTCTCCATCTTGGGTATCAGGGTTCTCTCCTGTGAGTTTTCCAATGATTATTCAGGAAGCCTTCAAAGTTTCCCTTTTTTACCAGAGTAGGTTTGACAAGGTAGTTCATCTTATAATAATTCATTATATTATAGCTTTGTGTAGTTTCCTTTTGTGTTTTATTTTATGAATAAAAAAGGGTAAAAAAAGATTGAAAAAGGGTCAAAAAAGATTAAAAATATATATCTCCCAACCTATTCCCTGTCTCCATTCTTTTTTTTAAATTAAATCTTTATTGTTCAGATTATTACATTTGTTCCCCTTTATTCCCCCCATAACTCCCCTCCTCCCAGTTCCCACGCCACCCTTTGCCCTCGCTCCCCATCCACTGTCCTCATCCATAGGTGCACGATTTTTGTCCAGTCTCTTCCCCCATCCCCCACACCCCTTTCCCCCCCCCCCCCGAAGAATAGTCAGTCCATTCCCTTTCTATGTCCCTGATTCTATTATAATCACCAGTTCATTCTGTTCATCAGATTATTTATTCACTTGATTCTTAGATTCAATTGTTGATAGATGTGTATTTGTTGTTCATAATTTGTATCTTTACCTTCTTCTTCTTCTTCCTCTTCTTAAAGGATACCTTTCAGCATTTCATATAATACTGGTTTGGTGGTGATGAACTCCTTTAGCTTTTCCTTATCTGTGAAGCTCTTTATCTGACCTTCAATTCTCAATGATAGCTTTGCTGGATAAAGTAATCTTGGTTGTAGGTTCTTGGTATTCATCACTTTGAATATTTCTTGCCACTCCCTTCTGGCCTGCAAAGTTTCTGTTGAAAAATCAGCTGACAGTCGTATGGGTATTCCCTTGTAGGTAACTGAGTCTCTTTCTCTTGCTGCTTTTAAGATTCTCTCTTTGTCTTTTGCTCTTGGCATTTTACTTATGATGTGTCTTGGTGTGGTCCTCTTTGGATTCCTTTTGTTTGGGGTTCTCTGCGCTTACTGGACTTGCAAGTCTATTTCTTTCACCAG